TGGCCTGGAGAGAAACCATGATAGACATCTCTCCAAGTCCACTACCTATCATGTCTACCGATATCGTATATTCAAATATAATTTGTCTCTAAGGCATATGTGATGATCTAACAATCTCAATGTAAGTATGGCACTAATAAAAGTATGGTAATAAAAATAAATTTGATATAAGATCGCTTTATGCTTAAGGAATTTTAATCTTCCAGAGGTGCGTACATTTAAAACTTCCAGGTTTGGTATCAAGATTTGCCCTCTTTATTTACCCAGACTCCAAAGATGTATCTCATTATTATTCAAAGTACAAGATGTGTAATGAGTGAATCATCTCCAAAAGATAGACCTTAACAAAAGCGTATAAATATTTCAAACTAGGAATTAACATCATCAATATAACCGCTTAATATTAAATACATTACTCCAACAAAAGGGGCTATCATTAAATTATCTACATTTTTTTATTTCTTAAATGTTAGTCTAGACAATACTGTATTGACTTCAGAATCCTTTTCGAAGTCAAAAGGAATGTTATGTGTTTGGGTTGTCTGTATTCAAAAAACCAAATGTGGGTTACGATTTTCTGAGCGAACGACAAGACCGATATTTAAATTATATGGTTTAAATTACTGAATAAATATATGATTATTTTTCAAGAATTCTCATTGTTATATTTATAGATATATAATTATAGGTTATATTATTTATTTATAGATATGCATTTTAGATTATCAATATAGATTTATAGATTATATTATTATATTTCAATAAAAGTACAGTACTGGTTCAGTATTTCTAGCTCATATTGTTTCAAAACACTATGTTACCGATAGTGTTTCTGAATGAAACTACCTATATATCACCAAATAATTTGAGCCATCAAACTTACACACTGATCCAGCGGTTCGCAAAAAACATCGTTACTAAGCTTTTTTCAAATTAATTAAACACATTTTATTTTAGCACAGTTCAATATTTTTAGCTAATATTGTTTCAAATCACAGTGGATCTCATCGAATAATTTCAGCCATCAAACTTATATATATATATATATATATATATATATATATATATATATATATATATATATATATATATATATATATACTTATAATTTATAATTCATATTAATAACCTTACCTTGTTGATGTTTTCACGTCTATCGTGTGGTCTAAAGCACACACCTTAGTTTTATTTGTTAATTATGTATTTACTTAATACGAATTGGTGTGGTAAAATGCAAAATTGGCTGAACTGAAATATTATTTTTCATTATTTACTCTCCATCAGACCTGGTTTGCGTGGGATCTCTAGCAATTAAGAATACGTTTATTTTTATAGTGATTTAATTATTATAACTGGACAAGAAAATATCTCTAGATACGCCACAATTAATTAAGATTAATCATTTTTTTTAAATAACCAGTTGCAGCGGTTTATTACTGGCCCATCACATTTTAATAATTTGTATAACATGATTTTTTTTCTTTTTTAAATTACGGAATTAATCCTTGAGAATCGTCGGATTTCGAACCTTTATAAGAGGTTGTTCCGGACCTTTATGATGTGGAAGAGTGGTTATTTCTTCACGGGGTTGACATTTCAAGTTTTAAAATTCGGAGAGAGTAACATGTTATCGTTAAAAGTAGGTCTCGTTCAAGGCGTCCTGGATAAACAAAATGATTTGATGTGTAAGGTTACCAGGTGAGGAGATTATTGTACCAGGTAATATTAACTTAATATAAATTCGTGTAGTTTTCTAACTAATAAAGGTTTTATATTGATTGATATTAACAATTAACGATAAAATTATTGATTATGACGGATTGATTGTTTACAAGTTATTTAACCATTTATTAATTATTATGTCTATTATTGTTTTAAGACTTTTTCCAATAACTTTTATTTCAGTCACCAAATGAGGAAATGTATGCAAAACATCATTTGGCTTTTCATTTCATTTTATTTAACTCTATTCTATTCAATTCTTTTAGTACTTATGTTTTACTTACTTACTCCTGTACAAGTTCAATTATGTGAGAAAAAATACTAGATCCTCGCTTCTGGCTTAGCGTTACACAACTAGGCAGACTGGACAAAATGATTGTTTGTTTGGGAATAAAGGTTAACAACCTTCCGGTCATCCACGCTTATCGTTTCGTAAAAATATCTTTCTCTACTTTTTTAGCTAAAAATTTTCAAATTTTCCATGACTAACTGGTTTTAATTCATAAATCATATTGTTTTGAATCCGGTATGAGTAGAAAAAATTATTTAATGAAATCAAGGTTTCGATATTAAATACTTATTTGAAAAAAAAAAAAAAAGGAACCATAACTTTTGTTTTGTTTCCTTCACATTTGACAACAAACCATGCATATAATAATTGCTTTATTATTTTTTTTATTTTATTTTTTTAAAAAACTAAACAAATGTGACCAAAAATAAATTCATATTTTTTTTTTCATTTTTTGTAAATAAAATATTTAGGGTTTAGGTTTAAAAAGAATATTTTCATTACCTATTCTAAACTAAAAAAAACTCTGCCTAATAAGGTCAGTATAGCTTCCTCACCGTCTTCATTTCAAATATCTATATTAAAAGGTCTAAATATTTTCTTATTTAAATAATAATAAAGAACAAGAATAAAATCTCTGGAAGAAGCATTTTTGGAAATTCGATATTCCCTCAACATATACGGGCTTGATATCCACGAGTTTTGTTTATCAGCAAATACGAAAATGCGAAAAAGTTCCGCATTTGTAGATTGCATATTTGATAATTAGTGCTAAAAAAAAAAAATTCCAGTGGATACTGAATATGTATCTCGCTACTGTTAGTGCAAATGACGTATGTAAAAATTGCAGAAAAACTAATTATTTCTTTATGATTTATTAGTATAATATTATATTTTATTGCCCTCTGCAATTTTCATAGTAGTAGACTACTTATATCAATTCCAGACTACAATTATGTAGAAATAGAATAAAAATTGAAAACTTTTACGTACAACATTTGCACTAACAGTAGTTATATATACTTAATAGGTAAGTTTTCATTCGTAAAATGAATGGAACAAAAAACCCATAGGAAAAATTCAACTTGTCAGAACAAATAAGCTGGAATACGAAAATATGAGTGAAGTGGACACAATTTTGATATTTAAGTCGAGCTGATTGAACATCAATCTAATTAAACACAATAAAAAAATAAGAATTTTTTTTGTTTACGAATTCAGAGTAAAAATTACTTTACATTTACTGAAAATTACACGAAATCTAAGTAACGGCAGTAAGTGTCGTGCCAGTAACATTTGGAATCGACCATACAATACAGTATCAATTATTTTTTTTATTAATAAAACCTAAAATTTTATAACCCCATAACAATATTCTAATAACCTAACTCCTACTCCATATGATCAGTGGCTTCAACATTTCACAGCCATTATATTGTTGACAATTATTTATATTAATTTTAATTATTAAATGGAATTCAATGAAATTGATATTAAGTAATTTCTACACTGTTCTCCAAATTTCCTCCAAGTTTGATTCAAATCGAATGCGCCATTTTCAAACTACAGGCATATCAAATAACACATTTTCTGATATAAAAGAGGAATTATTTTTTTTTTAATAGTAGATAGAATTTGATTAAATTGATGCCTATTTCATTTTACGTTTACCAATCCCTAAATTTCCTCCAAATTAGAACCAAATCGAACTTGCGGTTTTAGGACATATTGCCAAGCTAAAATTACAAGTAGTGTTTATCGATGATTACAAAAATATTTAATTTATATAACTGTCAATTACTTCATAGTACACTAGACAAACTTTCCTTCAAATGCATGTAGAATTGTAAACAGCTAAACGATAATGACCCAAGTCGTTGAGGCCTTTATTTTGAAAATAGCTAAACAAATGTATGTTTAATATACAAACACAAAAAAAAAAAAGGTATGGTTTTTATAAAAACATTGATTTATCAGCCTCCTACTGGACTGCAGATATCCCATCCAATACTCAGATACTCCTTAAACTTCGGTCCATAGTTAGTTCGAAACATATTTGTATTTTAAAGAATGGGCTTGATTGAATACCGGTTTATTAGATAAATTACTATAAGTGAACAAGGCCTCTGATGATGAAGTGGGTAATTAGATTCTCCGTTGACCTTGACAGCCGGGAGTGAAGTTGAAGGCCTCCAAACCATGGTAAGTGGACATTGCCACGGCTCCTTGTGAGGCCCTTGACTTGTATTCGGCAATCAATCCTATTGGCTAAGACAATGGCGACGTTGAGTAGCATCCACGTGGTTTTTTTGTTTCTTATAATTGGCAATGGAGGCTTCTTTGTTTTAATGGATGCCTTACAAGTGGTATGGATGATGAAAGAAAACATTAAACTCAACCGACCTTCGGCCATGTTTTACATACAGTAACATTATTTTTAAGGATTTTTTTTACGTGAGAAAACCTTGTAAATTATGCTGCTCTTATTTATATTAATTATATTGTAACTTGTTACATTGTACTACCCGTTGATGGCACTTCAATAGCAGTTCTATATTAGGAGGTCCCATGGCTTCTTTTTGGACTTTTTTTTTTAAATTTATGTGGTTTTGGAATTTATTATGAAAGGATGAGTGACAAAATCAATAGAATATGGAAGGTTTTATTGGTGCTAAAATACAGAGCATTGGTGTATTTTACAAAGGATTGGGTATGATGTTTCAGTGAAACTCATACCTCAATCCTGTAAATCCACTTACGTGATATTATAGTCTTGTAAATGGATGTTTCGTAATTATTAGAAGCCTAAAGAGTCTCTTGAATGTTTGTGCATTTTATTTTTGTTAATGTCATAAATTATGATTCAAAATTATCCTTTTATTCGAATGGAGCTCAAGATGACGGATCTAAAGAGACTTTGTAAAATATTTTATTTTTAGTCTCATTATTTGCAATTAAGAAATTGAGCATCTTTTCTTTTTTCTTACAGATTTGAAATCAACTTGCAATGTTGCGCCCCTCAATCCGACTGCTTGCGGTCACCTGCTGCTTCCTGGCGCTCGGCCTGGCAGACTACCCTCCATTGCTGTCCTCCATGCTCCAGTGGATCACCAAAGGGATGAGCATGCCTAACTACGAGCCCCCAGACACCGATAAACCGAGGCAGGAGTACGACTTCATCATCGTAGGAGCGGGAAGTGCGGGCAGCGTTCTGGCCAACAGGTTGACAGAGGTAAGGATAGAAATACCGTTACACTACCAACTGTTTGATTACATTTTACTTAATCTAGTCATTATCATATTGATCATAAACTAGTATACTCCCATATTATAGTTCTTACACCCACATTAGATGGCTAATATGAGTAGTGTTGTCAAAAATCGGTCTTGTTCTTACACTACCAAAAGACCAAGACCGCCTGACGGTTGCAAGACCAAGTATAAGAGTGGTAAAAAAACACTTTTTTGTGAATAAAGAGTGAGGCAAAAAAGTCACTAATACTTAACAATTTTAGTTACTATATGCAAATAATTGGTGTAACCAATACATTTTTGCATTTAACTCTTCCAATTTTTCATTCGGGCTTATTTAAGTTCCCCAAACGGAAAAATACATATATATCTGTATATCTATAGGCTAATAGGTAAGTGCAAGACTGTTGCGAGACTGGCGCAAGACCAAGACCAAGACCAAGACTCTTCCAATTTTTCCTTCGGGCTTAGTTAAGTTTCCACAATCTGAAAAAACACATATATATCTGTATATCTATAGGCTAATAGGTAAGTGCAAGACTGTTGCGAGACTCTGGCGCAAGACCAAGACTTTCGTATTTGGGCAACACTAAATATGAGTGACATCAGAAAATATGTTTATTACTCTGCAACAGGCAGAAACAGCTCGCCGAATACTGCAACACAGATAAAAAACCTCATCATAGATCGTAATCCTGAAAAAAAAAACACAAAGTATTATGTTTTCATCCCAAAAAAGAAAAAAGAAAATTCTATCGAATTCAGAATTAACAATAATAGTATTAAAGTATCATCAAACTTGACATATCTTAGTATACATGTCGACAGGCACTTAACTTTTACAACACATTTTGACAGAAAGATTAATATCTTCCCGGCTCTGTTGTAATTGTTTTAAGATCAATTTTTAAGTCAGAGGTAAGACCATCACTGATATATATATATATATATATATATATATATATATATATATATATATATTAATAAGGGAATTAGGTCACTTATTAATTATTCAATACACTAATAAATGTTCATTGCTTCTGTGTTAATTCGACGTTTCAATCCCGTTTTTTTTTTTATAAGTTAACAATGGGATCCTCTTCAAAGCTCAGGCCAGGGACACACGGACAGTCTCAGCACCGTCCACCAGCACATACATTAATTAAGTAACTCTTATAAAATATAACTTATAAAAAAAACCGGCATCGAAACGTCGAATAAACAAAGAAGCAATGAATATTTGGAAGGGTATTGAATAATTAAGAAGTAACCTTATAAATAATTATGTTGAAATATAATACTCAAAAGTCGATTGAAGAAAATTTTTAAATATATATATATATCAGATTTCTATGAAACTCACAAAAATACATACATCTAAAACACACATTACAATACTTTTAGCAGTAAGAGGGTTATAAAGTTGACAAAAAATTTACGATAGTTATAACATATCATTTGTTGAGCACACACAATTGGTGAAGTTTATCATGATTGTCAAAGTAACAATTTATTTACATTAGAAAGCGATTAGCTAATAGGCTAAAAAATATCCACCTAGTTTAATAGTTAAAAATAGGACACATTAAGTCCTCCTCCATAATTTTACTCACTCAAGACCTTTTTTGATGTAGAAGAGCCCTGTTTTATAATCCTCTCACTTAATAAGAGTATATCAGTCTATTACTAGCAATAATCATAATTCAAAAGGATCCTTTACATCGTCTTGAAGTCTGCGTCAAAATCTTTAAAAAACAATTTGTCCCATTTCGATCCGTCAAATTTCGTAATCATCTGTGCTTTAAAACCTCCCATTTTTCCCAATGATTTTATGATGAAGTTAAAAAATCGCAATTGAAATTCGTCACTCGCCATGAAGATCCCTTTCGTACTATTCCTCATTCGTCAACATCCATACCTTCTGAGAGCTGGAAAAGGGATCTTTATTACCGTTTTATATATACAGTTTAGATCTTTCCTGAAGAAAATATTTTTACAGGAAAATTCAAAAGAAGTTTATTTTTGTACATATATTATTGTGAGTAATGTCATTTCTCCATGACCATTCATGAGTCTTATCTAGCCTGCTATAAGATTAAAACTAACCATCTTAGATGCCTAATTATTGTTTCAAGTCAAACATTTTCGGGTAGATACTAGCTGACTTACTATATTTTTTATTTTTATAAAAAAAAATTGGCATTCGAATATCTGTTTTTTTTTCCTTCCTATAAATTTCAGAAATTGTCTTCGCTACCGAAATATATATATTGTATAATAGTAATTGTGTATAGTGGTATATTATATTATTGAAATTGTTTATACTGTGTGATATGAAAAAGAATTTGTATATACATAAATATGTGATTAAGAATAGTTAAGTGGCATGTCAAAAAAAAAAAGATTGATGAGTATGTTGTGTATCGAGGGCAGTACTGCTTTGAATAAAGTATTTCTCTCTCTCTTGTGTTTCATGGAACCCCTTAATTTATCGTTACCTTTCACAGACGTCATATTGATCAATTACTTCTTCCGTGTACCAATTAACATGCTCGTCTATTTTCAGAAATCTACATATGCATGATATTCACTTTCGGTATACGTGTGAATACGTGATGTCACGTGAAATGGTAATCGTATCGCTTGCAACAGTCTAATTTCTGTCCATTAACAGATCGGTCATGTCAATTAAACGATTTTCGAAATATCGGTCGACACGTACGGAAATAACTAGCACGAACGTCAGGGCAATCATTCGACAATTATAAAGGCTAAACAATCCTCATTAAAGTGAACTGAAATAGAACAGCTGTTGACAGCTTTGGGTCTAAATACTGAGGTCAAATCTGAGTGCGCGTCTTGTCTGAGATCTAGTAAACAATACGAGATGTCATTATTGTAATGTGAAACGTAGCAATTGTTCAAGAGCTGCATGAAATATAGTTAAATTTTGTAATATATATTACAAACTTAGTTGAAAAGAGATATAAATTAAAACGTTATTAAATGTTGCCAAACGGTAAAGAAATTTAAACATTACTTAACCAAAGTCATGCCAGAGGTTGTAAGGATGAAAAAATATTGTCAGGATTTACAGTCAAGAGTTTTTATTAGGTTAGCCGACGTTTCGACTCAAACATATGGGTCATCCTCAGGGTTATCTTTTGGGAGTCGGGACAAAAACTCCTAAAAGATAGCCCTGAGGATGACTCACATGTTTTGGTCGAAACGTCGGCTAACCTAATAAAATTCCTTAATGTAAATCCTGACAATTTTGTTTCATTCTAATAATTGATTAGTCGACTAACTACCCATCTCTAAAACCATTAGATATAAGTTGCAGTGGGCTATTTTGTGTTCTACTTAATGAAAAAATATATTAGTTGAAGTCAGGGTTGGGCTAATGCTACTCTCTGAGTACCAAGTACCAAGTATTTTACTCAAATTGAATCACTATTGGGAATTCAATTAATCACTTGACATCAACGGAAGTAGTAATTAAATTCTTTAATACTCAAACAAGGTCACTATGTGAGTAACATACTTGAAGGTCTTTCACACTGAAGCTCCGCCCAAAATAATCAAACGAATAATGTGTTTTTTCGTTGGTCCATAATTTCGATTCTGAATGAATGAATCGATCACAATATGCCCTACTTTAAAAATACAACGCATGCACTTTAGTTTCGAGTAAGAACCAGATATTAACATTTTATCCATAAAAGCATTATTACACCTGTTAATTTTTTTTTTATTTATTTATTATTTTTTTTATTGATAAATATTACAATCTGTCTCAATAAAGGACATTTATAATAAAGTTTTGAGAGCACATTCACACCATATTTACAAATTTAAAAAAAAAATAAAAAAAATAAGCTAACATCAAATAATATAAAGCTACAAAAGAACAAAATAAAATATCATAGTGAGAAAAAAAAAAAAAAGTAATGAAAATAAACATCTTAGACGCAGGCATACCTATTACAACATCTGTTAATAAAAAAAATCTGGTGCGCGCAACACACAACTTTCACTTACCAATCTACTATGAATAGAAATTATTTTCTGGCAATGCTGGACTATTATAAATTTTTTTGAAGTGCATTTTAAACGGAGCTAAAGCTTAAAGCTTAAAGATAACAAGTCATTAAGATCATTATAATTACAAAAGGACTATTTAATATATCTACGACAGGCAATAAATATCTAGTCACTCCATCTGCTTTTATAACCAAACAACTTTGTTTGCTTTTATAAACTTCAGAATGACTAACTCTAATTTCATTTCTTTTAAGTGATGTCATTTTAGTGAAATTTTTAGTTGAAAAAGTTATCTATGCAAAATATGAGTAAGTTGATTCCGGAGGTGGTGATTGTTGATTGAGCAGTGTTGAAATATAGAACTGAGAATAAAGGTATAAATTTAGGTACTTATTTATTATGAAAAATGTTCTTAGAAAAGATACTTTATTAAATATCTGCAGAAAAAAGATATTTTTAGCCTCTTCAGGGAAAAAACTATAGACAATATCTTTCCTCCTAGTTGTCCGATCTTAACGATTTTTTTCGCTTTTTTAGGAAATTCCATAAACTTTTAAAAAACCATAACAATATCCCCAAAAAAGTGTATACTTTTTGAGTTATTCGGAATGTAATTTTACCATTCCTCGTAACTTTTTTTCCAGCTTCTTTTCGTTGAAGTATGTTATATAGATAAATTTAAAGGGTGTCGAGAAAATGAGTTTAGCGAAGTTTCGTTTAAATCGGTACATTCGTTTAGGCGCTTCAGTCTATAGCAAGGCAGGTTTTTCTGCATTTTTATTTCTTTCTCCTTTATTAACTTATCAAATTCTTCCAAAAGTTATATTTAGCATTTTTTCATTACTTTGAATAATGTGAAATGAATAACTTTTTAAAATAAACCATATTAAAGGTACTTTAGAAGAAGACGTATATGAACATTGGGCATTTAAGCCC